GAAGTATTTAAATAAAATAAAACAAAGATTTGTCCATGAATATATTGAGTATTTGTTTTCAATAGTCCGTGTGCAAAGAAATTTTAATGTTAAAATTTAAAATATTTTTCCTCATCTCAAATTTACTTTGTGTAATCCCTAAAACCTCCTAAATGCATTTCAAATGTTTTTTTCCAGTAAAACTTTATAGTTTATCTGTTACTTTCTAATGACTTCAAATTGTAACATGAAACGACATTCATTTATCCTAAGTAGCTCTAAGTTCATAACATTATACATCTATTTATAATTAAATTTTATTGCCCTTTGAACCATGTCTAACTACTTACCTCACCATTATAAGTTGTAAATCACTCGGGAATGTGCAGCTCACGTTAGGCTTTTGAATTACATTATCCATGAGCTGCTCGCATGCGTGTTTCATAAACCATTTTAATTATAATATTATTATTATCACTTATTTTACCTAATCTAGTCGTAAATAACTTTAAAAGATCCATAATTTTAGATTTTAGTTACTCTTACAATAATAAAGAATAAACATGAAAAACAAGAAATAAAGTACTTACCTAATCTTTTTTCTTGCTGTCGTGTTTTGAAGAGAGTTAAACCTAATTTTTTATAGTAATGATAGTAATGCATTTAATAATTTTTATTTAATCAAACAATGCACCAATAAAATATAGATTAATAACATGCAAAAAGTAGACAAGTTCCCTTGTCTCTCAAAATTTTCCTGGCTTTCTAATATGACATGAGCCATTACAAATTCATCCAAGTTAGTCGTTAACTTTCCCACAGGAACAAATCTTGTACTCTGAGTGAAATTGATGATATTCTGTTCAAAATACAACATTATACAATACATCATTTGATAGATGAAAACCTTGACTTTCTATTGGTTATAGGTAATATATAATGAAACGTAAGAGAGAACTACCAACGAATTGTGAAAGAGAGGATGTGACAGGTGGGTGTGGTAGGAGGGGTCTGATTTTCTATTCGATAGCTCTGTAACCAAACAAAATTGAAGACTATAAAAATTATGGTTTGTCTGATCAATAACAATTTTAAAGAAAGTATTTTACATTTAATTTTGTATATCTTTGAAGGGTGATGGATAACATAGGGATGATGACATGCTAAGACAAATGTGTTGTGGGTCACACAAGTGGAAATTCAGGATTTTTTAATATTCCCTTGTAGAATTAAGAACTTAAAACTTATATACAATTAAAATATGGATTATCAGCTAAGATTTTATGCTATTCTAATCAGTATAACATAAACAAAAAGTAGTTTTATAAAATTTTGATTGTAAGACACTAAAACCTTGTGTCATGTGCTGTAAAGGATACCTGGGACAATAGGGTTAAAAGGAACCATGAAAGACAAGGAATTCAATTTAATAAAAACTGTTCACTTACATCAAGTCATAGATGACTCCTTCAGGTGTACAAAGTGGGTGTTCAAATGGTTGAAAAGACAGAGCACAGTGATCAAAAGGAAGTCTACGAAACTCCGCTTTCTCACCAAAGTCTGGACCTACAAAAATACAAAGATGAAAAAAGAAAGGGGTTAACAAAACTGTAACAGAGAAAAATATGATATTTTAATACATACTTTTAAAATTTACTCAAATCCATAAGTTTGTTAGTCTTATACTTCAGAAGCAGTTATCCCTAATAATTAAGTTATAAGTTCTTATAATTTACTGTCTTATAATTGAATCACTTGAAAATAAGTGTCAAAACTGTTGATTACTGTATGAATAAAAGATATTTCAAAACACCATATATACTCCATCACTATATGAAGAAGCCTTGTCTTATTCTTTTAATTTGCCCTTGTGCAAAGTTACTTATGACAGGTGAAACTTCCCAAAACTGGTATAACTCAGTGACAAGTAAATTGAATGATACTTTTGGGTTTCATGTATTTTTTTAGCATTTTTAACATCAATAAAATTCTTAGGTGTTTATTTGTTGTTACGTATACAGCTACATAATGGGCTATCTGTGCTTTGCCAAATGTGAGGATCAAAACCCAATTTTCACTATTATAAACCTTGAGACATACTTAGGAGTTTTTTTTTTCTCTTTTAAATGCATCATAAAAAGTTTATCCATTGTACTTTGTAATGATCACAGCACAGAACATATTGTCTTCAACAACATTTCACTGGGTCACAGCAAGCTTCTTCCATTTAATTGGGTTAAGTAACTTTTATTATGACACTTCATTATTATACTTCATAAAATTTTAAATACTTATACATAAAAAGCATTTTATACTGTACACACACATATATATATAGCTCTTAGTATCACAGAATTGTGAAACAAAAACATTTTTCTATCTTACCCATTAGAAATTTGGATTTAACTGTATACACATACCAATACTAATAGTATTCACAATTCCCCCATATTTTAGACAGAGTACAGTGTAAAAGATTTAATGCTTTGATGGACTGCCTGGAGTGTAGTAGTGGACCTATATCACAGAATCATCATCAACTCCAGGCTCAAGAAAATAAACCTAAGATTTGAAGTTTATCTCTTACATCCTGTATTGTATGTTTTCCACCAATTAAATTTCACAAAAGTTTTATTATGACATTTAACTGTAATGATGATTACATTAGTGACCCATTAGTTGTCAAAGATATTATTTTAACCATCCAGTTGTCACAATGATTTTAATATTACCACTAGCTGTCACAACTATTTTATTGTCACCACAAGTTGTCACAATGATTTTAATATTACCACTAGTTGTCACAACTATTTTATTGTCACCACTAGTTATCACAATGATTTTCATATTGTCACCACTAGTTGTCACAACTATTTTATTGTCACCACTAGTCATCACAATGATTTTCATATTGTCACCACTAGTTGTCACAACTATTTTATTGTCACCACTAGTCATCACAATGATTTTAATTGTCACCACTAGTTATCACA